CATGGTTTTTCTCTGGAAACGTTTTTGCCAACACAACAAATGGAGGAGGGGGAAAAAAACGGAATTCGAGTCTCAACTTAGATTGCAGTTAAAAATAAATTAACTATGCTGCAAGCCTGTAGCCAGAGACCTGGCTGTTTTCTCCAGCTATACATAATCAGGACACCTGGTTATAAAGACAGGAACCCAGTCAGTCCGTGCTATGCTACGTTGCCTCTGATCTGCATAGCATAGCAGGCCACCTTGCCTCTGAAGCTGCCAGCCACAGTTGCTGGTGAAAGATCATGAAATCTGTTGTCTAGATCACAGTCACTAAACCCTGAAGCCTAACACTGCCCTATACATAATCTCTCTTAGTGCCTCAGTTCCTTGGGGGAAGGACAATTTCCCAGTCTCCCATATTCTCTTAAGCCTTCATCTGTCCTACTCACTACCACATTCATCTTGGCTACTATCTCTTCTCCTGTTCTTCACTATTTCTTTATCCAACATATATCTAGGGTTGCCAAATTTAGACTGTGAAAATCTGGACACTAGGTAGCAGTAAGAGATACAGAAAAGTCTGACTCATGCTGGCTGGGGAATTCTGGGAGTTGAAGTCAAGTTTGAGAAACACTGGTCTAACTCTTTGCTACCATCTAGGGCTCCCTATGGTTTTTCTAGCCTAGGTGTGGCAACCATACTTATATTTTAGCCTTCTACCCCAAAATCTGAGTCTTCCCAAATTCCTCCATCAGGCCCCATGTGAGCAGACACCATTATGAGGCAATTGGAAAGGTTTTAAGAACTCTGGTGAGATGCCCCACCATCTTCCCTACAAGAACGGGGGGTACTGTTTAAGCACCTGGCATTGTGAGAGATTACCATTGAAATCCATGTTGCTCAGCACTGCAAAGTACCTCTCTGGTGCACAAAAGGAGAAGCAAAACAACAAGAGAACATTTTTTTTCAACCTAAACCTGACCTGCCTTGGTCTTTCCAGGAACAGCTCAGATCAGTGAATGATTACCACCTGCCTTGCCTTGTCTGAGATGTCATGGCTGCTCAGCCAATCTCTGCAAGAGCTTTCATCACTGTCTTTAGTGTGCAATTCCTCAACTAGCTTGGCATGGGCTATGCTATAATTATTTTACCCTGTGAATTGGAAGCCATGCGCTACTTCAGCCATGCTCTACTTCAAGTCACATACTTGAAGATGTGAAGGGGGTCACATCAGGGCATTCCTTGAGTCGTATTCCTGCCTCCTCCAAGACTTGCCTGCTGGTAGCAGTGAAGGCTTACCAAGGACCCTCATCAGGAGCACCCATGAGTATTGACGGTGAGTTGGGGGCCTTTCCCCATTTCCATCTAACTTTGTAGAAACATCCTAGCAACATACTTTTTCTGAAGGGACATCATCTTCCTCCTAACCCACCTTAGCAGTGGGACAGTTTAAATGATCCGCACCTGTATTGATGTTAAAGTCGAGTTTTTCCCCTTATTCCAAGGAAAGCTTCAAGGTTGGTCAATTCTTTGCCATGCATTGACCATGAACAGAAGCACAGGGTCAGTCTGTTGACTGAAAGCTGGGTAGAGATTTGTGGTATATAAGATGAATGACCATATAAGTTTCCTAAATAAATAAACGTTCAAGTCAGTAATGGGGAAAAGCCCCATTGAAAGGGGTTTGAGGTGTGCATGGGTGTGATAGAAAGATAAAGGAGTAACTTCAGAGGTTTGTATAGGACATGAATGATACTGTTGAAATAGTAAAGCTTTGATTTTAAGCTCTTCCCAGTTCCATGTTCTCTTCTCAGTTCCATGTTATACTAGAGTACAATTTACTGGTTTTCCCCCTTATCAAAACAGCTCTGCAGGTTTAAAAATTCCTCGAGTCCTGTTCGTGATGGCCACTATGCCCATACAGCTTTTCCGGCATCCATAAATATCTGTCTGTCTCCCATTCACAAGCACAGGGAAGCGAGGCACGTTTCTCCATCACTTCTTTTGCTTCCTGTTTTAGTAAATGAGCCATACAAAAGATAATATCATTACTAATGGTGTTAGGCGGTGCTGGGTCACAGCCAATGTCTGTTACCATCACTTGATACCATTTATGTTTGATGTATGGTTTCCTAGAAAGCTGAAACCAAAACACTTCATATGTAGAAAGAAAACCAAAAATGTTTGGCTCTAGCTCAGTTTAAGACGTCTGATTCACCCAAGCCAAATGAACAATCCTGGAAGTAAAATATTGTTTCAACCGTGCAGGTTGGGTGGATCATGTGATCTCCCTGGGTTGCTTCGAGGCAGTGGAACGTGAATCGTGCCACCGGCTCTGTGTATTGTCTGCTTGAGTTCAGGAAGGAAACTGCAGAGCAATTTGATTTTGGGCACAGATAAGTGCTGTGGCTACAATGCAAACAAGGGGGCAGCCAATATGAGGAATGCCAGGAATTAGTTGTGAATCGAGAATTTCAAATCCAAATTCAAGTGGGGAGAATTAAAACAGACACACTTCAAACTTCTGCAGGCATTTGTTAACGCTGCACTGATTTCTGCAGCAAGGGGTTCCTCTCCTTAAGTTTTCACTGCTGTGTTTTTCCCCCAGGAAGATACAGTGATTGGTATATTAGCTCCTCCCCAAGCATTTTGTGGATCTCCTTTATTTTATTGTAAATGAGATGCATTGGGAAATCTAATAATAAGTTAGCTCACATAATTTATCATTTGGACCTCAGGGGAGAACAGATTCTGACCTCGTCTCCACAGCTGTTTTCTGGCTGTCATTTCTTGGTAACAGACCCACTCTGTAAGAAACACTGGCAACCAGTTTTTCACACACACACACACACACACACTCAGACATCACACTAATCCATAGTTTTTTAGTTACGAAGTTGGTTCTCCTTGTTGATACTTGCCTCAATTTGCAGTAACTATCTTATGACAGTAGAAAGAATCCCAAATACTGAGATATATGTTTTACAGGACTTTGGATAAGTGGAGGAACACTAATTAATTTTCATTAAAGGGGAGGGGGAGAAAAGAGGATGTAAAAATGCCTATGAACAACACACATTTTGGATAGCTCTGACCTAAATGGCTGGTCTTCACTCACTCTAAAAGACAGCAGAGTTTTAACATATTGAGCATTTGGTGAGGAAATTATGGTAGTTTGTTCCTTAGCTTCAACCAGGGCATTGGGAATTGGGGGCAGGTGGGCCAAAAGAGTCAGGTTTGTAGCCATGACTCCATAATCAAAGTTCTACCCCTTTTTACATGCATGTGATCATTTGCCTTCAACAGAACCCATTCAATCACCATTACTAATCTAAATATATACGATGAATATTGGATATCAAGGAGTCTCATCTCTATTTTTTTTCCCAAGCACAAGGACTGGCTAGAGTCATGCACAACTCTGAGCACAATTTTTTTTTTTCAAGGTCAGAGCAGTTTTTATGAAGTGACTGGCATTCTTTGCTGAACATTATGCTAATATCATCATTACTGCATACAATTTTGTTTATCCATTGATAGGGTATGACATTTATGATACTTAGGACTCTGGAAGAACATTCTTATTTACAAAGCTTGAGTGCTCCTGTATTGTTCGTTTCACAATATCTCCTGGGTGAGCAACATCTTTTGCTGCCTTTCTCACTGGGGGAGAGGGAGATCCTTCTATTAGAACAAGTAAGAGGGATTAAATCTAGACGCTGTCAGCTGGGGTATGGAAATTTCTTTCACGGCAGGCCCAAGATATTTTGATACAAGAGGGGAAGGAGCAGATGGCATCTTCTCCCATTTCATGAAGATAAACCAGCAACACCAGTATTGGGCTATTTCTTCATCACTTCAGATGATAGAAGAGTTCTGCATTACACTTAGAGCTACCAAGGGGTTCAAAGCAGACAACGTGGTACACAGTTCTCAACACTTTATTGTTGACTCCCATCACTTTGCCTAATGGTAGTGCCAGCCCCAATGTTTTTGGATAACCTTGATAGGACTATCCCTTCCTCCTGCAACTAGCCCTCTGGGGGTGCCCTTCAAACATTGCTTTAAACCCTTCAAACAATCCTTTAGGCCAGGCGAAAGTGAGTTGGATAATTTTATGGTTTAGTACACTGAGTGAACCAAGCCATTGCACAACATTTTTAGGTGGTTTATTTGTTTAGGCACCACATGTTAGGTTGGTTAACCTAAGTTGAGGGTTTAGCATGGTGGGGGAACCCAGCTATTGTGTTACAGATGTGAGGAACATGAAACGTCATCCTATAAATGGAAAGGACATTGAACAATATGTTATGAAAGCTAATTCATGGCAGCAACCCACTCCCTGATTCAAGGGTCAACTGGACTGTTGAGTGCACATTTGTCTGAAAGCTCCTTCCTCTGGTGCTATTATGTTTGTAATACAGTATTCTTATTTTTAGGCTTATGTGGCTCCAGTGGGAGGTAAATATATTGCATTCATTGACAGCTAAGAAGCAAACATACTTAGAAAGTTTCTGGAAGTTAGTTGGACATAGGCATGGGTGGCTGGAAAGGAAAACCCACTAGATCATTTCTCAGTGCCTTTGTTCCAAAAAGGGACCCAAATATCAATTAAGATTGTTTTCAGTCTGAATGATGGCTCAGGACTACTCCCGAAAGCCCTGTTGGGTGCATTTGTCTGAATTCCTGCTTGCTTTAATTTTATTTACCATTTTTTGTGGAATTCAGGGAGGAGGAGAAGTTAACTCCTGTGGCCTCCCTGCTCAGTTAATCTTCAGTCTATCAAAAGAATTATGAAATCTTTTAAGATCAAATGTTCAGACACTTCACAAAGGTTGTCACAGTGAATTCATTTGTCAGTCTTTCATCTTGCTTTCCCCTGCTGTGCCAAAATAATGTCAGTGAGTTTTTCTATTTTTCTCTCTTGCCCTTTTTCCCTAGGACTTTTCGAGCTTATAAAAGTAGCCATGGACAAAGGTTGTTGCAGATTCTGGTCCATACTTTTAATTTTTGTTTTATTGTATTATTTCATTTCATATAATTTCATTTTACTTGCCTCCAATAAAAGCCCAGGAAACCTCAGGACAGGTGTTGAATGTTCATTTCTGCATCTTCTCAATACAACCTCATGAATAATATTTGACAAAAGTGGATAATAACTTGGCAAGTGTCTAAGAAAAAAAGGGGATATTGTTGTTATTGTTGATATTGCTATTATTTTCCTATGTTGCTCTCCACCCAAGAGGTATAGAAGACGTATCCAAATATTCCTTTATTTTTAACAATGTGATATATATGTGCATGCATTCTGAAAAGTTTCTGACTTCCCCAGATGAATTTAAGCTCTTAACTATAAAGAGGAATAAAAATGGTTAATACATAGAAATTGGGTTTGCGATTAAGGATTAATGCACAGTGTAATTGCTGATCATGCCAAATGGGGGTGACCAACATTATCTCAGACTGTTGACCTGCATATGACCACAGATGGTCAACTGAACTGCAGTTGAGGTCCATGGCTCTTGACCAGCTGGAAGTATTTCTTTCATTAGCAGAAATAGCTGGTGATATATGGTGACATAGTCTCCATGTTTGAAGAGAGAGGCTAGAAAGAGACACAAATGTTTGGGTTTGACTTCAGTAAGCAAAAAATATGAAGTCTGGATTTGGCCACTGTCTGGGATACTGTAAAGAGTGAGTGAAGCAGAAAGGAGGTCACTTCCAGCTCTTGCTGGCTGCTTCTGTGGGAAAATAATGCTACATTTCTGTCCACCATGGTCAGGAAATTGGCCATCTCTCCTGTATTCAACATGCATAATAATAATTATACACAATTAATCATCATCATAATAATTTATATTAATAATATTTTAATAATTGTTATTAAATATAATGTATAATAATGAACAGACATATCTCAAATGCTGCCCTCACAAGAAAAGGACTGTCCTAAAGTTCCTATAGTAATGTCTCAGAGAAACAGTAATATATAGACTCACACACAGTTCATCTTGCCTCTTTATGGACAATTCTTTTGCCTGCAACCTGAGAAAATAGGTTCTTGCTATTTTTATTCATGATTCTTTATGAAATGGCTAGGTGTCTAAACTTTTGCATTGCATGTTCATCTAATAAGTACTTTACTCATGGGAAAATTCAGGTGCAGCCATTTTTACTGAATCAGTTCAATAAACCCATATTTTATTCAGTGTTGGCTTGGCTTCCCCAAGTCCCCTTCAATCAACCTTTAGTATGAGATGGAGAATTTATTTATTATATTTATTTATGATATCAATTTATGTAGCTGCCCATCTCCCACTGGCAACTCTGGGCAGCAGACATAGTGTTAAAAATCAACAATAACAATTAATAATAAAATAATGAGAACCAAAGGCATTAAGGACTGGGCAGTTGAAGTTAAATTCAACTATATGGACGCTTCAAGATGAAAGCAAAATGAAAGGGATAAGAAAGGAAGATGATTTCAGCTGACCCATCTAGGAAGTGTTTATAGGGACTAGTGTTGGCGCTGAGAAGTAGGCAAAAATCACATTATGCAAACGGGTATGATATCTGCAGTTTGATATTCTGCAAAAGAATATTCTTTTGACCTAGAGTATTCTAGAGAGGGTACTAAGAAAATGCACTGTCCAGAAATTCATTCTTAAAGATTAAGTGTTTTAAGATCTTGGGACAGGAAATAATTAATTTTTTTCCAGCATTAGATTTCCTAAGGCTGAATATGCTTTTTGCACAGGAGACTAAGTATGTCCAACAGTCTCAGGGGGTGGCATCTAATTCAAACGGAAGGTAATAAAGCCCTAACTGTCCAACTTTCCATGGCCATCTGGTTGGGCAATAGGGAAACAGAATGTCAGATCACATGGATTGATAAAGCATGGTTCTTCATATAGAACATAAGACTCTGGAGACTGAATTGGGTTGTGAGAGCCAGCAACGAAGCGTTGAGAGCCGTGTGTCCATGTAGTCCAATCTTCTGTGTCACATAGTGGCTATCCAGGTGCATCTGGGATCCTCACAAGCAACCATAGGAGGAGAATTGCTGTCTTTCCTGATTGCCCCACTGCAGCTGGTGTTTCAGGTCTGTTGTCTGTGATTCAGGAGCAGTATAATAGCCATCTGCTACTAGGCAGTGATATTTGACCTTTCATGACATTTCCTGTCCACTTGTAAAACCATCTAGATCAGTGGGCATCCCTGTATTTGGTGGCTAGAAATTCCACCGTAAAGTTGCTTTTAATGGTTCTGAATTTCCCCATGTTCCCTTTCATTTTTCAGTGGATGACCTTGAGAGCTAACATAGACCATATTCTCTGCGCATGGATGAGTTTATATACCTCTATCATGTCTCCCATCACCTGCTTTCAGCTTCAAGGTGAAAAGCCCACAACTACTGTGGTATTTCCTCAGACGGGGTTACTCGGTCCCTCCTAATCATTTTGATGTCTTTGGTCCTCATTTATATAGCAATGGTTATTTAGCCTCATGACACAAAAACTAGAATGGTTGTTAGGTTTCCAAATGCCTGACTCTGCATGTTCTGGTGGCTGCTGGCTGTCCAACCTACATCATGCCCTCAAGCTGTAGGGACCTGGTTTCCCATGACCTTTGACAACCTTCTCCTATATGGGCCACTTCAGCTCCACTAATAAAGAACATTGCCTTGATTAGTCCAAATGGAAATCTGTGTGTGTATACGCTAATCATGGAAAGCTTCGTTATGTTAACTCCTGTGCCTAATTAGGTGCACTTGTTAATTTGATTCAATGTATACCTTTCAAATTAGATTGCCATTTAATGGATGATTTACTTACCCAATCTATAATTTTAGAAAAGTCCAAGGGATTATAATCTTCCCCTTTCTAAAACACTGCCTCCATTCTGTGTATGAATTAGGAGCTCCATTGTCAGCAATCAGATATATTGCACTTAACCTTTTCTAAAATTTATCTGCACTTAGAATAGCTCAGCATTACCATGCACTCAATTTTTAATGGAGTTATAACAGACAACACTAATCTATTCATAGCATGCCTGGGTGGCGTTCTCTCCCATCCTTTTTCTCTTGGCCTCTCTGCCATATGTTATGTGTAATTAGATGGCGCTGCACATCCAATTTATCAGAGAATATGGCAGCATTTAGGAACTTTTGTAGGTTCATTGTTCACTGAATCAGTGTCAGGCCTAGCCCAAGGAACTCCAAGAGACAATGCAAATGTTCAGCTATGTTTATTAGCTACAACCTCTAGCAAGAATCTTCCCAGACTGAAACCCCAGGTCCCAGGTCGCCCAGCCACAACAGTGTGAATTCCTCAGGGAGGTGCCAGTCTCATCCTCTTGTAGTTCCCATGCTCCTGCGGTGAGCTAAGAAAATGCTTATCTCCCTGAGCCTGGCCTTTGTAATTCCATTCCAGCACATCCAGATTGGATGGGCACTCAGTGAATCTTACTATCCAAATAGTACTATCTTACTATCTCACCCCCGTCACATCAACCTGTCCCACCTGGTCAGGCAGAGAGGGCGTGTTGTGGGCCCGTCAGCAAGAGAATGTTGGCTGGTGGGGCCCAGGGGGGGAGCCTTCTCTGCTGTTTCCCCCACCCTT